GTGTTCATTCATAGTTTTGATGCCTTCAGTGAGAATCTACAATGTAAATAGTCATGAAAATAAAGAAAACGCATTGAATGAGAAGGTGTGTCCAAACTTTTGGCCTGTACTGTATGACGCTGAGTAATGGTGTTTCATGCTAACTATTGTGATGTCACAGTGAAGTTGACCTTTGGGATATGAAATGTGATCACTTCATAATTAATTTCCTATTAGACATTTGTGTTAAATTTTGTCATAATAAGCATAGGAATCTTTTGACCACCAAATTCTAATCAGATTATTCTTCAATCCAAATTTTTGTGCCAAATTTAAAGAGATTCCCTCAAAGTATCTTGAGATATCACATTCACAAGAATGAGACAGACAAGATCACAGTAACCTTGACCTATGATCACCACAATCTAATCACTTCATTGTTGAATCCAAAGGGACATTTCTCTGCCAAATTTAAAGAAATTCCCTGAAGGCGTCCTTGAGATATGGCACTCAAACAAATTGGACAGACAGATGGATGGACAACCTGGAAACGTAATGTCTCTGTCTGTCTGTGGCTAACACCAGCAGTGAGGCATAAAAGAGGTAGTTCCTGACATACCAGTACACAAGTTAAACCTAGATAGTAAAATACTCTGCACTACAGGATAAACAGCATTTACACACTGCCAGTCTGGACTGACAATCATGGGCAAACAGGCTGTGGACTACATTGCTTGTACTGCTGGAGTTGCATTAGATTAGACTCTTACTTTGAGGGACAATAGATAATAGCTCATTTAAATGTGTGGTAAAACTGTTTGCAGTAGACAAAGTAAGCATGTAATGAAGGTTGTATCCACAGGAGTGGCTTTTAACAGAGCTCTCTGGCAAAGTGATACAAGTGGAGGATGATATTTCCACACTGTTCATCCACTTATGAGCAAACAGTTTTACAGGTTTTCAAACTTGATATGTACATAAGAGGCTTCATTGTAATAGACTCGATGCAGACTGGAGGAGTGGAGAGAGCGCCCATGTGTGAGTCTTCAGAAGTGGCTCTCGTTGACTCTTTCTATAATCAGCAGATGGACACAGCTGGATGAAACCAAGTCCAAGCCAGCGCTCAAAACACACCCCCTCATGCCACAGTTATAATGTGGACTGAAGAAACATGTATTTCTCAGTCACAATGAAGGGGATATTTAGTTTAATAGTCATAATAGTCATAAAAGCATTTGCCATCAGTGCAACTTGTTAGTCACCAGTGTGTGTCTTAAAGTTTTGTAAATTATACCAAAGTCAAATTGTGTCTAGAGAAAAATATAAGGAGTAATTAAGAGACAGGAAGAACTATGTAACGCTACAAATTAAAAACAGTGCCATTAATTCCAGTTAAACAACAAGACCTTACCACCGTACTGGTCTGTGAAAGGTTGACACCAAAACAGTGGCAACCATGGAAAATGTAACAGGATCAGTTTCCTGTTTTCTCCTGATATGTCCCGTCTCCTGGCAGATAAGCCGACTGAGTAATTCTGCATACAGATGCTCAAAAACAGCTGGCCATGATTAATAGCCTGAGTCAGCCTGTTCTCAAGGCCGATTCAATGATTTTGTACGATGTTCATTTAGATGTTTGCCCCTATATCCATCGATAAAAATTGACTGGCATAATCAATAAAGTTGTGACTTCTGGTTAAAGACTCTAAATGAATGAGCCAGCTGACAGTGCTAGTGAGATAAGTCAGATAGTGTTTGCTTGTTGGCAATTCAACCAACCTTTGACACATGAGATGTCTTGGTCTTCTTGGGGTCTGAGAAAGCAGAGAGGGGGATGGTGGGGAGCATCGGGTAGTCTGGACTGGGCCTCGACACGGCTTCAGCCCCCTCTGGAACCACCAATACCTGAAATTAAAAAGACAAGAGTTATGGAGCCTCATACACTACACAGTAAATCCACAAATATTGTACAGAGCCTTTATTTACTTCGATTGAAGACAGAACCAGGCTTTTATAGAGCTGTTTTTCTGATTTTCCCACAGACAGTGTTAGGTGACTCACAGTTGGAGCACTTCTACAGCTTGAATGGTCGTGAAACTCCTGGTTGAATCATCAGCACTACAGATAAACAGCTGTATTGCAAAACAACCTCCTTTTTAATTTAGTTGACGACTCCCAAGGTGCACTTTTGGAAGAAAAAAATACTATCGCTTAGCTTAAAATCTTGTTACATGCACCACTAATGGAGAGCAGAACCTAAAAATAACAATGTTAAAAGCAAATTAAGAATCCTGCGCACTGTTCATCACTTATACTCACTTTATATACAACATTTTTGTCCTCACACCTTCATTGTGAAACCTACACACCTGTCACTGAGACATTATGGTGTGCAACAGACTTTTTTTTAGATTGCAACCAGGTGTTGACAAAACTGACTGGAGCTTAAATCACTTCACTTTTAGATTCTGGATATTTTTTTGTGAATTCAGCAACAAGAGTTTTGTTCACAAATTCAACTAAGAAGCGTTTTGAAGTCACAACTGCTTTGACTGGATTTCTCTCCATAGCAACAGGAGCTAAGGCTCATGAGAAGTGTAGTACTTCGAGCCACCTGCCATGCTAAACATATGGAAAAAAAAAACGTCCCAGTTTTCAGTGTGAAGTAAAACTGAGAATTTCAGCAGGATTCAAGTTAAATTCAGACTCATTAAGCTCTTTTTAGAACCACAATTTATTACCAGTTTCTCGATCATACTTGCCAACGTTTTTAAGTATGATGAATAAGCAGCACGGGCAATATGGCCTAAAAATATTTATTATTATAATATCACATTTTTTTAGTATTTCCCAGCAGTATATAACAGGTACTCCTAATGATATAACTAATTTAATTAACACAACCTGGACTCCTACGCACACAATCCAGTGTCACAACAATCCTACATTTACACAGTGTTCCTACAGTGTAAGGAAAGTTAGATTTAAGGCTTTTTAAATCTATTTTTATAATGGCCAAAACTGATGTTGTCAGGAGATCTGTAGCTGCTGACCCTCGTGCTGGTATTGGAGATTGCAGTGAAGGCTAGACAGAGATGAGGGTAAAACAGATCTGGGAAATACCTGCCGTTTGTTGGCGAGGTTTCTTGGTGATTTTATGTTTCTCACTCTGCATGTGGGATTTCACTGCCTTGACTCCCATCGTGCTGAGTTTAAAAAACTTTTTGCAAGAAACACACTGAGCCTTGCATTTTTTGGAGAACAGTGAATCGTCTGCTCTGGCCAAAAACAAAATATGATCCTGATCTGCGAGCTATTTTCTTTTTTAATAGAAGCTACCAATCATTTTGAGATTTTACAATTGAAAAGGTGACTTATAAAATTCTACTTTCCATGTCTTAGCATTTTAAAGGCCAAGTGAAGGACTGATTTAAGAAATTTTAAAACCAATTACAGCCTTATTTTTAGACTGATGAATTCAATGCTGTTAGACTTTTTAAGGATCCACAGGAACCCTGTCATAGTGTGTTTAGTTATAGGTCCCACCAGCTCACAATGCAATATAAAAACTTCTTGTAACACACACTACTGCCTATGACAGGCAGGAGAAACTATTTAAGACTTATGTCAATAACTCTTAAGACTTTTTAATAACCTTTAAGGCCTTTTTTGAGGAAACCTAAATCCTTTAAGACCCGCAGATACCCTGCATTAAAGATAAAACACTTCCAGAACCAGCATTCACAATACACATGATGAAATGCATCATGTGGTAGTTTCTGCTATTGACTCTTTTCAGTCATTCAGCCATCAGTCCAGTGAACCAGCCAATGTGTGTATCAGGCAGCCTCACCCCTCCAGCTTTTATCAGCTTTCTCCTGAATTCTTTGGTGGGGTTGTTGAAGGTAAGCTTCTCACAGCGCAGGTGGTTGACTGGTGGGTTGCCCTCCAAGTTGAGGAATAGATCGTAGTTGAAACACACCTTTTTTGGCTCCTCCTGAAGGAAGGAAAAAAGGATAAAAGACCATTTTAAAACTCTGGCAGCATGTGTGACACAAGCTAATTTGTGCCTGTCTTTCAGCATTGCACCAACACATTTTATAACAAAAGATAAAAGCTGAATGAATGAACTATCACCCAGGAAGTTAATAAACAGACACAGCCACAGCGTGCACACTGATAAGAATCATCTAACATTCCTCACTGAAGCTGTAGAGAAGTGGATAATTAAAGCTGACAAAAAGGCATTAAGACATGCTTGATAGATTAAACAAAAATGTCTTTGTATAAATGCAGACGGATTAATGGTTGCTGATATTTACACTCCTCTTGCTTGCCTTTTAAGCGTTTTCTTGATCCTCTGGACAGATTTGTCCATTGTGTACAAGTTAACTGCACATAAGAGGAGGATGAAACATTTTGGGTGCAGTCCAGAGGTTTAATATTACAAAGAGCTGCTGGAGACGATGGCACAATAATGTGCAGATACCACTTAAGCGTCATCCTTATCTTATAATGAGAGTAAAGTGGGTCTTTCTTTCTTTCATCATTCACTTTAATGGCTGATGGAGACTTAAAGGTGCCAGTATAATAGTGTGTGCTCGTTTTATTTCTCTCACTTAAAGAGCGAAATTGTCCCCCTTATAAAAGTTTTACTAACACAGCGGTGCCTTCTGATTGGCTGAGTGCATACATAAGAACTCTGACTGGAGGGTGTGTGAGTGTGGCTGTCCAAGGTGAAGCCATTCACAAAAAAAATCAGTTACACAACACTGCATTGCACTTAAACTTAAACAAACTACAGGCACTCAGAGTAATCTGATTATTGTTGGCTTTGGACAGTAACCTGATTTCTGAAACATCACGTTAGACAGAGCAACCAGTTTCTTTTATCAAGTTATGGAATTAACCTGGTTACCACGGGTAGATTTCTGCTGGAAAAACCTGTTTTCCTCCCAGTAACCCAGATTTCTGTGTGCATGTAAAGGCAGTCTATGCTTGGCTTCCTTCAGTCTCTAAATATTTCAGCGCAGCTCACAAGAACTACATCCACATTAATAGTAAAGATTCTTTAGTAAAACATCTAAAACATGTGCCAAAAAAAAACCTCACACAACTCCAACAATATTGAAGCCTTAATTATTTATATATTTCCTAAAGCCTATGCTGTCCCCAAAGCCTAAATTTCCTTCCTATAAACACAGCAACCACACAGGTTATTATCAGTGTCCAGTCGGTCTTACCTTGTTCTTGAAGTAAACCTCAATAGGCATGAGGAAGCCTGCGTAGCCCGACTCCTCCACTTTGTATGGAGGCTCCTTGCATACTGCAGACAGACCAAGACAGAGCAATAATTATTAATGAACACTCACATTACTCTTATCAACAGAATGACATATTGAAATAATGACTGAGGTAAAGTAGATACATCTATGTAACTATTTAAATACCAAGAAACAAATACTCCTTTAAGTCTCCCACTAAATGGGGTTAAAAAACAAATTATGTTATTTAGAAAAAGTCTTAGCAAATTACACACGAACATGGACTCAGTGTGATGGACAACACACTGATGATTGTAACCAAAATTTGCCATGATCGCCATTATAATAATTCTGTACATTTTGCCAAGCGTTTGAGTTTTAACCGCACTTAAACACAAAACAGTGATACATAATAATAAATCATCAATGACTTCTTACTAGGCCAATATGTATCCATGTTTACCTGACAGAAAGTAAGCACACCAATTTATAAAAGGGACAGAAAAGTAAAGAACAAATGACTGTTTATTTCACTAAACCTTTATACACACTAGTCTAGCGCTCTGTTTGAGGACACAGTGTATGCACACTCTGACTTTGAGCTCTGTGAATGATCATATATGTACAACCTGATTTGAAAAGTAAGAACGACATTGCCAGGCCCATCACGATACCTGTTTTGTTGGACAATACATTGTCTAAGAAACAACTGTGATAACCAATATTATTGTCATTTCGAGACCATTTTATGCCACTAATATAATGATACTATGAAAGCATAATAATGCAAGTACACCCTTTCAAAGAGCAATTAATTGTTAATTCTTAAAAATATATTAAAATTAAAAATTATATTATTTTCAGACACTGGAATTGGAATATGAATAAAACATTTTTAAAGCAGTACTTAAAACCTGGCAACATGTACAAGAAAGTATGTCTAAAATTATAGTACCTTTATAGGAGAAGCCTAACGTTACTCAGTTTGAGACAAAACCAAAACCAAGTGATGCCTCTTGGGACTCACAGACACGTTTAGTGAAGCTCAAACACCGCAATTACTTCTATAATCCGGCCAGTGTGCTGCCGGGATGGATGGCCTCGGCAACAGGATGTTTGCTAGTGGATTTACGGATTGGAGAATGAAGTTGGTGGAGGGTGAAACAGGGTGTCTTCAGGTATCAGACACAAATTTAGGACCAATTTTTGGACAGATCATCTTTTTCTTATTCAAGTCATGCATGCAAGTATAAAGGTAAATAGTATTTGTGGTCATGTATAGAGGAATATGACTTTTCAGAGTGACGTAAGTAAATCAACCTTTTACCCACAGGTGAATTCTAGTATGAAGTAAGAAGACAGTATTAGGCTCAGTGGTAGGTTTATAGATTTTAGATATCAGAAATAAGGACTTCCACTTAACAGAGCTTGACTAATTTCAATAAAAGGAACTAAAGGACAAATAAACCATATCAAATATAAGCGATTAAGATTGCACATGTTCAAATTTAAATCTATTTAATGACTTTTATGCCCTGATATTTGTAACATTTAATTTAAAACATTTTAAGACTTTTTAAGGACCTGCAGACACCCTGGTAAAACGACAAATGACGGACTTTCTGGTCTTTGCCACAGGTCGGTAAGCTAACGACAATCAGGACTGCACCTTCCGCTTCAGACAAACTACGCTGAGTTGCGTCTTTAAGGGCGTTGTTTTATTGCACAAAAAAAAAAGACACTCCCTGCACCTAAGTCTTATGATGGTCGGGAAAGCCCTGCTGTATATTCTGACATCATGTTGGCTATAATGTTGGTGACATTCTTACATAAAAAATGCGCATGTAAACCCAGCAAAAACAGGCCGTATCGAGGTCAGCAAAATGATCGAGGTCATGCTGATATATCCTATGATAGGTCGATATCATGACAGGCCTTGACACTGCGCCTGCTAGATGCCCTATTTATTTCTGTTTTCATCATGTGAACTGTATTTTGAATGTTTCATGCTGTATCTATTACTAAATGTCCTTATGCAGCATCTAAAACACTTAATTGTCCTGGTGTATATGCTGTGAAAATAAACTTTTGAGAATAAGTGTTCCAGTATTCTTATCCACCGGTCTCACCTCTCTTGGGTTTGGGGAAGCTCTCATGTAGGCGGAAGACAACCTTCTCTACAAAGTGCTGGATGTCACCGGTCTCTGGCCCTCGTACAAACACCATCCAGTCGTGGGTGAAGCCTTCTGATGTCACCTTCTTCCTTAGCTGGGCTCTATGGCCCAACTCCAGCTTCACCTGCACCGTGCACTGAAAAGAGACAGACAGAAAGAAAGAGAAGAGTCAAGTACAGTTTATCACGACACCAGGCCTGTAGACGTGGGAGAATATACACATCCGCCAAAAATAGGTGAAATGTGAACTACAAGGGCGAAAATTTTCAGATTAGAAACTGATGGAGATGATGAAGAGCAGAAACATTTGTTATCTACGCTTTGTACATATTGTGGTGAGCAGAGAAAAGGTCAAACAAATGCCTCTACATTGTTTTCTTCTTCCCTTGAGTTTTTCAGACTCTAAACGACGTGTGGATTCTTTGTTTCCTACGATTGAAAGATGTAATGCTTTTCTTTTCTTAGTCTATGCTTATATAACCTGCATTAGAGGTCACATGTCATATACAGCATGATGTATTTCTAAGTATTTATGTCACAAATTAAATGTGTCGGACAAAAAAACAGAGGTAACCTAAATTCAAGTGAGTTTTCACTACATGTTTTAGTCTATGAAAAAAAATAGGACTGCAACTATCAACTATTGTAAGTCAAATCAATTTTATTTATGCAGCCCAAAATCACATATTTGGCCCAGGGGGCTTTACAATCTGTGCAATATATAGCACTCTTTGGATCTTTGACTGAATTTTAAATTATTTATTAATCTGCAGATTATCTTCTCCATATATATTGTTTTTTTCCATTTTATAGATCAAATAATAAGAGAAAAATCACAATTTTTCACAATCACAATTTACTTAAGCCCAAGGTGACGTCTTCTCGAGTCACTTACTTTATTGAACCATATTCTGAGTACCACCACATAAGATAAAGTAACAGCTTATCCTCACAATCCAGAAGTGGAAACTAGGAAAATGATTGTTAAAGTCAAAGTAGTTGTTGATTGATTACTTGATCAATTGCTAGGGTTAGCGTCTGTTAAGAATTATCTGAATCCCTTGCTTATTCTCACTCAGAAAAAAAAAAAAAAAAAAAAAAATCATATTAAAAATGTGATGCTTCTCTAGTTCATGTACCTTGAATCAGATATCACATGTTAGTGTTTTCTAAGAATCAATATCACTAATAAATGAGTCAGACTAAAAAAAAGAGGAAACAAAAAACTTCCTGTAAAAATAAAAAGATGGTTAACCTGAATTTATGTAGGTTTACCCTACGTGACTTCCTTGCCTCTAACATACGACTGAAATCATAGTTGATACTCAAACTGCTATTTAGAGCTGAAACGATTAATCATTTATTATATAAGCAGGTAAGTAAGAACATTTGATTTATATAGCGTCTTTAAAAACTAGACTTACATGATGCTTCACAGGTGCACAGAAGAGATAGTATGATGAAATAGATAAAGAATTTCAGAGAGTTTAAGGAGTTTTTAAGCAAAAATGGCAAAATGCCTCTGTTCTGTTTCTAGCTTTCTATAATAAAAAAATAATAATATCTTTGAGTTTTGGATAACTGGTTGGACAAAATAAGATGTGAAGACGTCACCTCAGACTCTGGGAGACTGTGATAGTTTCCAATAAACATTTAATGGAGAACATAATGGGCTATGGCAGAGCTGCAATGTACAAAACATATGATGATCTTATAATGTATGATGCACTGTTATAGGTTAAACTACCCAACAATATGTAAATTAGAGCTGAAACAAATAGTTTATCAACAAGAAATTGATCAGCAACTATTCTGGTAATTGATTAATCATTCTTTTACGAAACACTTGATGGTTCCAGTATCTTAGATTTGAGAATTTGCTGTTTTTTTGTTTTTTAAATTTTCATTATATTTATCATAATCTGAATATCTTTAGGTTTTTTGACTGATGGTCCAACAAAAGAAATAATCAATTAATTAAATCACTGTGAGAAAACGATTTGCAAATTAATCAATGACGAAAATAATCACTAGTTACAACCTTATGCCACAGACTTCAAAGCTGTAGATTACAGTGGCTGAGACACCTTACAAACGGAGCTTGACTAAGACAAAAGCAAAGCGGGTAGTGAGATTAAACCAAGGGGACATTATTCATTTGTTTCTGATTCCACCTTGAACAAAAACCTCTGAATCTCTTTTCTGGAGTGTGTGTACTTTATACTCAAGAGGAGAGGCTGAACACTTGGTCTGGACAAACACAAAGCTGGACTGGTGTCGGGACGCTCCCTGTGGAATGGGAGTGATTAGCTGTCCGAGCCGACAGATCTCAAAAGGTTTGTCCAGAAGAGGGGCACATTTTTGGGCTACCTCTCTGTGCCAAGAACAATGACAGCGACAGGACATGGTAATGATACTGTGCTGGTGTGACGGCGGTGATTGGCATAGCAAGTGAAGAGGCTGTGGAGATGGGAGTGCAGAAGGGAACGAGGAGGTGGGGGGGGGTGTGGAGACGAGAGGGGACAGAAAGGCACTTTATGTCCAGGGGAGGACTGAAGAATGTGGGGATTTGGCCCCGGCACAGAGCAGCTCGTGAGCTGGGACTGAGTGGGGGGATTAGAGGGGACGGGATTGAGATGAGCTGGTCTGGCACTCCCTGGCTAACTCTCTCTCTCTCTCGCACACACACACAGACACACACACCTCCCCTGCCTGGCACACTGCCCAGCCATTCTGTGGCAGTAATGCCCTTAAACTCCAGACTCCACCACACCCACAGTGAGCAGCCGTGGAGTCCCTCCAACCATCAACAATCCCCCTCCACCCACCCCACGACTCTGCGAAATCAAGAGTGTGATAAGGACAACATAAAAATCAGGATGACAATGAGCCAAAGAGGAAGACGGTGACTCGCTGTTAGAAATCAAAGGGAACAATAAACTGAACGCATCATAAAAACAAACATGGAATTTCTCCCAATAATCTCAAAGTCAAGAGCCCAGGAGGCAACATGAGGCTGAGCTGATTAATTAGCTCGACAGACTAATTAGGCTGATCAGGAGCTACTTTCATAATTGATTAAGTGTTTAAGCCATTTTTCGAGCACAAACACAAAATATTTACTAGTTTCAGCTTATAAAATGTGAGTACCTGCACACAGTAAAATTATTACAAATATTTTGTGTTTTGGACAAACAATCATACTAGGTTCTTTTGACAGTTTTGTGACATCTTGTAGAGCAGTTCACTATTTCTATTTCCGATAAACAAATGATTTGCTCTATAAGATGTCAAAATAGTGAAACGCCTGGTATGATCAATTAATCAAGAAAATAATTGGCAGATTTATTAACATTTAACATAATTAGTAGTTGAGGCTACAAAGAAAACACTATGGCTGCAAATAAAGATTGTTTATTGTCTGTTAAATCAACTGATAGACATATTATCAAAATCATTATCAAAAAGTGAAACCCAAATTGTTGGAGCTGCAATTTTTTTGACAAAAGGTCAAACGTATCACAACATATCATTACAAATGAAGCATTGTGGTGCTAGAGATGTCCCAGCATACAAATAATATTCTAGATATATGGAAACTAGCCTGTCAGGTACAGACTCCAGCACAAAAAAAAAATTTATATGAATATTTTTTTTTAGGAAAAATGAAATGCAAAATTACCATTCCCATCAAAACTGCGACTCATATCGCAAT